CATATTTTCTTCTTTAAGATCCAATACAATAGAATTCTATACAACTTTCATAAGATTATTGTGAATACTTTGAAAGAGATAATTCTTGAAACAAAAAATAGTGTTTATTATTTTGTTTTTTTCGATCTGATAGGATCATTTTCAACTTTAAAATACCAAATAGAACAAAAAGAAAAATAATTTCTTATATTAACAAAAATCTATAAATATAATATTATAATGATTAATATCATTTGATAATCCATAAGTAATTATAAATGACGACATGAATTATAACGAAATCTATGTTAATGGCTTCATGAAATCAAAGATTATAATATCAATCTATAATTAAATTAATAAATGTTCAAGCTTAATGGTTCAAACGAATGAAAAAATTTTTGCTAGTAGATACATGTATTTTTTTACACTTTTGTGTTTGACTGAACATTCTAAAATATCAAGCTATGATATGTTTAACTGGGACACTTGAACCGCCCTTTTTGTTTTTTTAGACATGTGAAGTACCTCATCGAGACATTTCAAATGTCAACGGATGATCAATTTTAGATATTCAGATGGATCAAGATAAATCATCTAGTAAGATGCATAGTATTTTTTTAGAGTATAGTATGTACTATGGAATAAGGCTTTCATGGGTTTCTCCTTCCCAATAGTGTTTTTGTATTTGAAGTCAAATTGATTGGGTCATATATCGATAGATAAGTTGAAATTGTACATTTTGTTTATTAGAATTAATTGATTGTGTTGCCTTAGGTTTGTATAGGTTTCTGTCAAAATTATGGATTAAATTTAATGATTGACATTATTAAATAATATATGAAAGATAACAATTGAAATATATTGTATTTATTAAAAAGAAAAAATCCATATGAAAATAGATTTTCTATAAACAATGATAATTTAGATGGTTTGATTATAAATAATATGTTTATGTTGAAAGAATATTAATTTATATTAGATAAATGTTCTTACTGATTATTTGCTTTTAATCTAATTATTGATCAAAAAAATTTTTTTTTGTATTGAAGTTTTTATTCAATGCCTTGTTTCAGAGTTAGAATTGGACCGTTTTGTTTTTTCTGTCGGATGAATTTTACAGGCAAACTGGTAAAAATAATCAATCATAAAAGTATTTCTTCATATAAAATAGTGACACAAGCAAAATTGAGTATTCAAGTGTAGAAATCTGAACTAGGAATGATTAATTTTCATTTATCATGTTTTATAACAAGATGCGGCGAATTTTCGAGCCTGGTATCGATATAAATTAGCTATTCATATCAAATGTTTTTTTTTATTTTAATTTCAAAAAAAAGAAAAGCAAGTTTATAACAAATCTAACAGAGAAATGTAAATATTTATTTTTCTTCATTCAGGCAGCTGTCGAAGTAGAACTGGAAGCATTTAGTCTCGGTTAAATTGAGCAATACACGAGAAAGAAATCAATAGAGATATTAAGAGAACATATTATAAAAACATTGATTTTAATAGAGAATATTCTTGAGTGTAAATAACGATTTTGTAATGATACACTAGCAAAAATCTGGTCCTGTGCGGACGGGTTCCGACTCTGTGTATTATACCTTTCTTGATTTCATCATACATTAATTACTAATATTCAAGAAGTTGACTCTTTAATATCGTAATTCTACATTTGCATTGATAGTGAACACTATTTAAATTGTTTCTTCTTTCGGTAATAATAATTGTCGTACAAAAAATAATACCATATGTTTTTTATATTCACTTCCGATATAATGATTTATTTATAAGTGACTTTTCTATTGTTTATTTTAATGGGAAAGACCTTTTGAAACAAGTTGCGAACGACTAGATTGTCTTAGCTTGTCATATATGGCGCATGCTAATGCCATCTATATAAACATGTGTCACATTTATAGCCATAAATTATTAAATTCATTCGTTGCATTTCATCATTGGTTGACAAAAGAAAAACTGCTTTTACTTTAAAAAATTTTGACAAAAAAATAATTTTTCTTAGTTGCACAAGTACTGTTGAAATCTTTATAGCCTAATATGTCGTAACTAAATCATTCAATAGAAAATTCATCATATTACAACTTTCTACAAAACATTTTGTTATCATCTAGTTTTTGAAATAGAAGTCATTTTTTATTAATATTTTTAGTTAGAATCATTTCTTATATTAATCTCAAACTATTTAACTTTTCAAATATTTAATAATATTAAGTTAAAACTTTTATGAATTAGAACTGTTCGAATAAGTAAATAAGAAAAAAATCGAAAAGCGAATTTTAGAGTTTTCTTTTTTTTGAAAAACTTCAAATAGAATCATAATAGTTAGTATTCTTTTTTTGACTTTCTATAATATTCTATATAAAGTGATAATTTCTATTCAAGATAGTTCTAATCAATAGTTGAATTCTAAGATTTATAAGCACGAATAAAATATTCAGTTCATATTTTTGTCGATAATCTCTTAAAAATGTAAACTCAAATTCATATTTTTTTTTCTCGAAATATTGCATTTCAAAAAAAACAAAAACATTTGGAATTCTAAAATCTTTCGTGTAATATAAAACATTCTTTTGAAGTTAAATTTTTCTCAATATCTAATAATGAATTAAAGATCTAAATATTCTCTAATGTCAAATTTAAATTTAAATTTTGTTTAATAATATTTCTTATTTTTAATAGAATTGATTTATTACATAAGCTATTTTCTTTTATTTTAGATGAATCATCGACATAATACATCTATAAAACTTGATGATGATGAACGAAGTGAAGGTGAATTAGATTCATCATTAAGTGATAATGATGATGATAATAATGAAATTTTTCAATCTCAACAAACTAGTCAATCATGGACAAAAATATTAACTGATCAAAATCTTTCATCAATTATGTCAAATGCTTTAGTTGATAATACAGAAATAATTCATATTGATGATCCAATAGCACAACAAAGTACTAATCCATTAACATATGTATTTCCACCTGGAACTAATATAAATGAATATTTTCAACGTAAAAAAAAACAAGATTTAAAATTAAAACATAAACCAAATCGACATGATTTAAAAAATCTTTCACATTTATTAAATAATGAAAAAAATGAAGATCTTTTACGTGCTATACTTGATATAATTGGTTGTCAACGTACATTTCAATATGCACATGAAGCAATTCGATTATATAATGCACATGATTCATCAATAATAATTAAATCTGATAATGGACAAATACGAACATTAGGTGGTATTTATTTTAAAATGTTAATTAAAGATAATGATAATAATTTAATAAATGAATATGAACGTAATCAAATTAAAAAACGTAATCAAGAAATACAAAAAATTAAAAAGAAGAAAAAAACAAAAAAAATTAACAATAAAAATTCTATGAAAGATAATTAATTAATATGTATTTTATATCACTAACGATTCTATAAATTTTGTTGATTTTGAAATATACAGATCAGTTTCTTTTTTTTTTTTTGTTTACTAAACGTTTAACTATTTAAAAAAAAAATTTTTGTATTATATATAAAAAACATCAAACTATTTTATTTTCTCTTAGTTTAGATTAATTATTATTATTATTATTAAATATTCATGTATTCTATTAAATATATTATTATTTATTTTATACTTGGTTTTTATAATTTATCAGCTAATGAAAATAATTTTAATCCATATGAAATTCTTGGTTTATCTCGAACAGCATCAGATAAAGAAATTCGACAAGCATATAAAAGATTAGCTAAATATTGGCATCCAGATAAAAATTCTGAAACAAATGCACATGAACAATTTACAAAAATTAATGCTGCTTATGAAGTAAAAAAAAATCGAACATAAAATTTTAATTTCGAAATTAATATTTTAGATTTTATCTGATATAAAAAAACGACAACAATATGATGAATATGGTACAACATCAGATAATAATCAACATAGTTTTAATAATTATCATTTTCGAGATCCATTTGATATGTTTCGTGCACATTTTTTTCATGAAACATCATCTAGTGCAAAAAAAGTCATTCATTCATAGTAATTATTATTTTTTGTTTTGTGTTTTTTCTTATTATTATTTCATTATTTATAGTGAATTTCTTAATAATATTTTACCAAATAGTGATAAAAAACCTTATTTTAATATTTGGTAGTACAAATTTTTGTTTTCATTGTCGACGACCATTAGAAATTTTTCGTTCAATTGAAAAACAATTAAATGATGTTGGTATATAATGAAATAAGATTATTTTTATATGAACAATGACAGCTTTCGTTTTTTCGAGAACATGACAAGAAGAGACTAAAAGATTTTGACAATAGAACAAGTTATGTGTAGGTTTGCAAAGAAATAATTTCTCTATCTAATATTGTATACAATGTTAAGCTGTACTGCGTGCGGTTTATATGTTGAGTAGTGATGCCACTTTGACCACAAACCGCTACAGATTGTGATGAAGGTAGCACCATCTATTAATATGTCAACGATTTGAAATAGCATGTGGTAAATTATTAAATGGATGAAGTTTTTCTCTACATGCGTCTACTTGTATTTTTCTTTTACTGTAGTCAAAATTTTGATATAATATTCTGAGATTTGATGAGTTTTATACTATAATAAGAAAAATTTTAGTTTAACAAAGTTATAATAATATTAAAATTAGATAGATTTTTCTTTGAAATATTATTGTACTAATAACAGACTTTTAGCCATAGTGAACATTTTAATATTACATACTTTGTTAAGCTTATAGATTTTATATTACATTATTTAAGAAATAAAAATTATATTTAAAATATAATCTGAAAGTAGTTGTCA